GGCGGCGCTCCCGCTGAGGGTTCGGATCCCACATACAGACCGGTTCCCGCTCACTGGCTGAGCGAGGTGCGGGCGCAGCACCGAGGGTTGCGATCCCATTGCCGGTCCCGGTCCGGTACGGGCGCGACACTGAGGGTTGCGATCCGTTGCCGGACACGAAAAAAGACAAAAAAGGAAAAATAAATAAATAAATAAATAAAAGTCCTTCGAACAATTCTAGCATCACTGTATATAGTACAAACCATCTGCTTTTGTGTTTAAACCTCTAGGGACAGGCTTATAATACATGCCTGTGGAATTAGTGGGGGGTGGGGGGTGGGGATCAAGTCTTGGTGGACACCAAGACTCTATGTCCATATTTTCTTTGACAATCTCCAATTCATATAATGTCTTCTACCACACTCATAACTGTCAGACAATGTGTCCTTAATACTGGCTCTGAAAATATAATTCACCAGTATTACAGAAAATCCAGGTAAGAAAATGGATTTCTGAGTTAGGGTATGTTCCAGATAGTCACATTTTCTGTTACCATATTGCAAGAAAAGTGTCTGTAACAGTTCGTTAGGGGTCACTAACAACATGCCACAATTCAAACAATGGCCCGGAGGCACTCAGCCTCCCGAAGTCCACTTATAACTTCCCCCTCAGCTTACTGAGTTTGTTCCTGACACCTCCTCCTCAGCTTCTTCAGGGAGGAAGATGATAGGTAAAGAGCTTTTAAGCATAGTACTAAAATACTTCTCTTCAAATGCTGAGTTCCTGTTAATTTTCACTGCTCCTGAGTTGCTATGGCAACCAGATTAAAACCTACCAAGTTACCTCAGAAACCAGAAATCTCCTGTCTCCCAATACCAATTTTTCTTAGTAAGAGCAAAAGTCATTATTTGAACAAACCATCTTCAACTTGGCACTGAGATATTTTTACAGAAAGCATTTTATTATATGTAGGGAGGCTGACTACCTTGCTGTTTTCACTGTCAGTAAAACAGAGATGGAAAAGTTTTGACACACACCAGCCCAGTGACCCATCCTGACAACAGACATGAATGAGCCGGTGGCAGCCTTGCATCCCATAGCCTGAAGAGCATGAGTCACACTCTGGCAGACTCGTGGCACTTAACCTTTTCTACCATACAAGTCCGTCAGTCTATGTCTCTTTCCCTCCCTCCCCCTCTCTCTCTAGCCACAAAACAGACTTAACTGCTACAAGTTCTCTTAAACACAGAACATAAAATACAACATCGCTGTCCAAATTTCATCATTTTTTGTCCACTAAGTATTTCCTGATTTTCCAAAGTCAGCATTAAACTGAGTCATGCTGCATTCTGTGTCTTGTCAAAGAAAACACACACACACACACACACACACACACACACACACACACACACACGAGTCCTTCGAACAATTCTAGCATCACTGTATATAGTACAAACCATCTGCTTTTGTGTTTAAACCTCTAGGGACAGGCTTATAATACATGCCTGTGGAATTAGTGGGGGGTGGGGGGTGGGGATCAAGTCTTGGTGGACACCAAGACTCTATGTCCATATTTTCTTTGACAATCTCCAATTCATATAATGTCTTCTACCACACTCATAACTGTCAGACAATGTGTCCTTAATACTGGCTCTGAAAATATAATTCACCAGTATTACAGAAAATCCA